ATCGATTGTGTTACGTCACTTTTGTTCTCTTAAAATACCAATATCACATGCAACTCATATATGTCATGATCACTGTGCTTAAGAGGTGGGGCATTTCTGTCTCAGGCAGGAGTAAAGACATGGTCCAAGTCCTCTTTGTACTTCAAGACGCTCACATTACAGGGATAATTTAGATTGTGCTCCAGATTTTAAGCAGCATTGTAATTTCCGTGTGTGTGTTCCCTCATCGTCAAAAGCAAGGATGCAGAGGACCAGACGGACATGAGGTTTGACTGGAATGTCCACAGGAGGATTTCAGGAGGACTTCATTCTCCTTCTAATGAAGGGGCCCTTTTAGGGAGGGAGACGGTATGACACTGTGCTCCCGCTAGGCCAGCACTGGCAGTGATGTGGCTCTGCTGCTAGTGGAGAGAAATTATTAGTTAAATTGGTCACACCTGCCTAGCTGTGCCCAATAAATGGGGAACCACCCACGTTTTCCTCCATGGCTCGCTGTTATTTGTTTTTGTTCATCCACACATCTTCACACACATTCCACCATTTTGTCTTATCCTTTTCTCTTATGTTGCCAACATTGAAACCATTTAATAAATTATTTTATTTAAAACCTAAATTTGTGTCAGCCTCCCATTTTATGTTGCAGGTTCACCAGCTGGGCCGTAACGTGTTACAATTGTTATTTTGAATGCATTTGGTTGGTTTGTATCTTTTGCACTATTGACCAAACTGGCTTATTTAATTTGAGGAGTTATTAGTATTCATTGATATTTTTGTCTTATGTTACGTGTGAAAGTATTAAAATATCAGGCATGTGTGGTGGAGCTAGGGAACAGCCCAATATAAAATTATAGCTCATTTGTTATGTCAGGTAATATACTGCTTTTTCTCTTTGATTGGTCCAAGCACTGTTTGAGATCAGTGGTCCTAAAATCTTTGTTCTGTTGCATGAGTCACAGTCGTGATGTAGCCTGTTAAGAAGTGAACCAGCCTTGTCGAAAACCATTACTTACAGTGCCTTGAAAAAGTATTCATACCCCTTGAACTTTTTCACATTTTATCACCTTACAACCACAAACTTAAATGTTTTTTGTTGAGATTTTATGTGCTAGACCAACACAAACAAGCACATAATTGTGAAGTTGAACGAAAAAGATACATGGTTTTCAAAAATGTAAGCAAAGAAAAATCTAAAAAGTGTGCCGTGCATTTGTATTCAGCCGTCCTATATCAATACTTTGTAGAGCAGGGCTGTGCAGAGACATTTAAAGGGGCAGGTGTTCAAAGTTAAAAAAGATAGAACAGGCTGAATAACAACAACTCACATTCATGACGAATCTAATATGGAATTATGTGGATATCCATATTAGATCGTTTTTAGTGAAATAAAAGCCCTCCAGAAAAGAAGGGAAAAGTCCTGTAACTTACTTTAAAACAAAACATGTTCCCTAAAACGGTGGACAGAGCTACAGACCCCCTTGTAACACCCTTACCCAGTTAGCTAGCAGTTAATGACCACCACTACTTGTGCAGTTCATAAAAGGACAGGTAATGTTTGTCGCGCTGTTACACAAACAGCACGCTCATTTATTTCAATTCATTTGTTGTTATAGACTATAGTGTGCGCTGTACACCCTATTTACTGTTTTGTTGCAGTCTGCACCTTCCAATTAATTTGCCTGCTTCTCCTCCAGCTCAGCACCACCCAGCCTGCAGAAAATGCGCGTGCACTTTGCGAGCTCGTACCCGGCTCGTAACGAGCACGCTCTGCCCTCAAGGGCGAGCATTGGTTAATGGCAGTCATGTGACTGATGCAAGCCAGATCCTTTTATTTAGCAAAATTGAGATTAATAGTTACATTTTATTGTTGAGGGGCAAAGACAGGGCTCCATATGCACATACACATTAAAAAAATTTTTTAAAAAACCAACAAACAACAAAAAACCCAAGAAAAGGGCACTTGAGGCATCCTGGAGGAAAGGTGCGGGTGCTCAAGCACCCTCCGCCCCCCCCCTCTGCACGTGCCTGTTGTAGAGCCACCTTTCGCTGCAATTACAGCTGCAAGTCTTTTGGGGTATGTCTCTGCCAGCTTTCCACATCTAGAGACTGAAATTTTTGCCCATCCTTCATTGCAAAATAGCTCAAGCTAAGCCAGATTGGATAGAGTGTGTCTGTGAACAGCAATTTTCAAGTCTTTCCACAGATACTCAATGGGATTTAAGTCTGGACTTTGACTGGGCCATTCTAACACATGAATATTCTTTGATCTAAACCATTCCATTGTGGCTCTTGCTGTATGTTTAGGGTCATTGTCTTGTTGGAAGGTGAATCTCCTTCCCAGTCTCAAGTGTTTTGCAGCCTCCAGCATGTTTTCATCCAGGATTGCCCTGTATTTAGCTCCATCCGTCTTCCCATCAACTCTGACCAGCTTCCCAGTCCCTGCTGAAGAAAAGCATCCCCACAGCAGGATGCTGCCTCCACCATGTTTCACAGTGGGATGGTGTGTTCACAGTGATGAGCAGTGTTACGTTTCCGCCACACATAGCGCTTTGCATTTTGGCCAAAAAGTTCAACTTTGGTCTCATCTGACCAGAGCACCTTCTTCCACGTTTGCTGTGTCCCCTACATGGATTGTGGCAAACTGCAAATGGGACTTCTTATGTCTTTCCTTCAACAATTTTTCCATTTTTGGATGATGGATTGAACAGTGCTCCTTGAGATGTTCAAAGCTTGGGATATTTTTTTTTATAACCTAACCCTGCTTTAAACTTTGCCACAACTTTATCTCTGACCTGTCTGGTGAGCTCCTTGGTCTTCATGATATCATTGGTTCACTACTGTTCTCTAACAAACCACTGAGGCCTTTGCAGAACAGGTGTATTTATAATGAGACTAAATTACACACAGGTGGACTCTATTATCTAATTAGGTGACTTCTGAAGGCATTTGATTGCCCTAGATTTTATTTAGGGGTATCAGAATACAGGGGGCTGAATACAAATGCACGGCACACTTTTCAGATTTTTCTTTGCTTACTTTTTTGAAAACCATGTATTTTTCATTCCAGTTCACAATTATGTGCTTCTTTGTGTTGGTCTATCACATAAAATCTCAATAGTAACATTTAAGTTTGTGGTTGTAAGGTGACAAAGTGTGAAAAAGTTCAAGGGGTATGAATACTTTTTCTAGGCACTGTATCCCCGAAGTTAACTAGCTAAGCAAGGAATCCAGCTTCATGACACAGATCCCAGGTAAGTCATGTAGGGTAGTATTTTTTATGTTTGCTAAGTTAATGCAGCCAAATCTCATGAACCCAATAACACGGCTGTTGTGTAATATATGGCCAAAAAACATTTTATATTAGAAATCCTCAGGAAAGTTATGCAGGGGGGGTCAGTTTAGAGCTGGGGGATATGGCCAAAGATGTTATCATGATAAAAAAATTCATATCGGTCGATAGTAATTATTGTCACAGTAAATGTCAATACACTGTTTCTTTCCAGTTTAAAATATAATTTTTACTCCTTAGTTAAAATTTAAGAACCATGGGTTTCTGGCGTTTCACCGTATTCTGTGACTGTTGTAATGTGTGATTCCAGGGCCGCTGGTTCATGTTATTGGGAATGATTTCGAGGTTCCTGTTCACAAGCCCTCCGCGCATTTTCCACACCATAACTATTTTAACATTTTCATTTTCTGTACTGTAATTATTTTAACATAACATTTTAACGTTGCAGACTTTTTCCAAAGCAGCAGCATTTCCACTTTCTGTATTTGTATTTCTTATTGAAGGGTCTCAAGAGCTATGAATGGAAATAACTCTTCTGCATGTTCTATTAAAATGAACATTTGCAAATTATAAAAATACATAAATAAATCTAAAAATAAATCTGACTACTAATAATCTTGCATTGAGTAATGTATGCTAACAAACTCTTTCCCTTCACAAATAAAACTAAGTTGTCACACTGCCACTCATTCCAAACTGACATTAGCATATTATACAGTAAAGGCAGTTACAACACACACCAATGGTTTTACATTTATCATTTAATGAGACATTTGACACTGACTGTCCCATAAGAATACTTAACAGCAAGGAGTTTGTTTGGAACTATCGAAGGTTTCGTGAATCACGCAATGTGACGGCAGCGAGATCAATCAGTGATGCAACCCTCTCTGTGGCTCTGAGTTAATAGAAGCATTTTTACCAATAAGCTTTCACCTACTCTCCATTTAGACAAAGCGGACTGTTATCTTCCACATACTTACAGAGGAGGTGTTGATGGGCTGTAACTACTCCATTTTCAAAGGGAAGATTAACAAATATGTTGTCGAAAGCAGTTTCCATGAAATGATCAGCACTATGCTTCAAAGATAAGATAGATTACACTTATAATCACAAAATAAAATGTTTGCATTGATACATTTCTTTTGGAATTTTTGTGGGGAAGCTGTACTTCTTGTGTAGTCTTAGAACAATCACTTGCGAATGTTATTTATGTCACCTGGCAGTGGTTTTAATGCTATGGCTGTTCAGTGAACCTCTGTACTATGTGCTGTTATTTAATTCTTAAGACTAGCAGATCTTAAAACCACATTAAACAGGGATGGGAGGCACAGTCTTTATTTAGATATCAGAATAGGGGGGGGGGGGGATTTATAAAACAGTGGAGATAAATGAAAACAAAAGACATCTGGTTTGGCATCAGACTGAGGGAGAACAGAGCAAACAGATGGATGTTGGATCACTGAAAGGGCTACAGCTGTGTGCAAGCTTGGGCACTGTGCTCTGGGCACAGATTCTGGGCGTGGGGGTGGGGGACTGGACCCAGTCTTCCAGGACTGCTAATAAAGCACAGGTGGACGATTGTGTTTATCACCTTTGTCCTTATGGAATTTTGGAACGATATGCTAATTTCATCATTATTATCATGTTATTATATTTAAGTGTAATGATCTTAAGCTAAATGGTCAGTGCTGTGTAATAAAAGAATTACACCTATGAGACAAGCTTTATTCACACATCAAGCCAACAGCTCCAAAAATAACTAGACAATTTACATGTCAGCTTTATGGGTCCCTCTTTATTAAAAATATACTCTTGCTGGAGAAACTGTAAATTACAACTTAGGATTTCACGTCTTTAATTCCATGCGGCACCGGTTTTCACAGGGATACTTCATCGTTCCACGTGGTACCAGTGAGTAGCCACTGCACTTACAGACAGTACACATTAAAGGTAAACCCCGTTTAACTTAATTGTGTTACCATCTCGTTCACTGAACACATATTTAAACAAACTGTCCTCTGTCTCCACCTAGGTGCCACATTAAAGACAGAACAGAGCACTTCAATGGCGGGTAGCAAGAGAGTCATTCACTCCTCAACCTCTAGGTGGCGACGGCTGTGGTAATAAGAGTAGCTATGGTAAACTCCCATCTACATTCACACTTTCATCCTTTGTATAGCATCAAGATAAACTCACAATAGCTTCCTATTAAGACTTTCACCAGGCACAACTGCAGAAATACGAGCATTCAAAAACTGCTGTCACAGAAGATTTCACTCCATTTTAGATTTGTATGTTCTACAAAATTAATAATTATAAGTAATCTATTATTCTAGTATTGTTTCCCTGGTAATTTCAGAGAGCAGCCAAAACTGCATCAATGCCTTCACAAAATCAACTGAGGCAATAAGCATATGGCATTCATATAAGATAAATAAGTTCCGTACATAAACATTATGTACAGTCAGCATTTCCACCATATCAGCTACTTAAACTGTTACAGGTTTCATTAGTGCTTGTTCCCCAAACAATTGCTTGAAGAATGCTACATGTTCCTCACAGTGTTCTCCTGTCAGAAAAGAGAGGTGTTCAATATTCAGTGACATGTAGAGTTTATACGAAGCAACAGTTCTGGCAATAAATACAAAATTATCTGTTATCTGTGAAAGTCAAAATTGACATTTTATAAGACCTACAATGTTCTCCTTGACCAACTTGCTGAGATTACCTGGAGTGAAGCTGGGGCTTCCTCGCAGCCGTTGGTTCCTCTGCTCGAAGAAGCGGAAGATGGTGTAGAAGAGCATCTGGTCTTTGGTTTGGCGGGCAGCGTCGAGGAACTTGCGGGCAGAGATGTTGTCATGTCCACCTACGCTCCTGACGAAACGCAATGCCCCCAGAACCTGCTGCTTGGACAGCAGCACCTCCACTATCTCATCATTGGCCGTGGAGAGCCGCTGTTGACACACAGGCACCGCTCATATTTAGGCCAAGGAGCGAGAATTTAACAACAAAGAACTATACGTGACAGAAAACTAGGGCAACCATGAGCACCTTCAAACAAACTGTTAACCAGCAATTACAGTATGTAGCTGTGTTTGCTTCAGTTGGGACTCCAAGTGGCAGCTGTGTTTTATAGATCACTTAACATGACCCCTGTTGCACAGCAGGTTTGTGAGAAAGTTGAATATTTTGGGTTATTTGTCTAATGTGAGCTTGAACCTAGTTTATGGCCCTCAGGTCTGCCCAGACAAGTTTTGCCATAAATAGCAGCATATAGTATAGTTAACAAAAGACACATCGCACGCAATACGGAGGAAGAGAGTGTGGTACCTTCAGCATGTCCAGGGACAGCTGGTGCGCGGGGGGGTACGTGCTCTCCAGTGAGAGCAGAAGGCAGGCCTGGCAGGAAGGAGGAAGACGCAGAATCCCTTTATAAGAATAAGCGAGTCCATTGTTTTCCTTAGAATTAGTATTTGTTATCAACATTGGCATCCTCTACAACGACTTGGGTCATACAGTAGCTCAAAAGACTCAGTCGTGCATTTTGGCTGTATAAACATCTTTTTCACGTTTTATTTTATGCATGATTCAGATTTAACCGTTGCTGGTCACGCTCACCAGGGGCTTGGAATCGCTGAGAACATGATACTGGAGGAACTGGTGAAGCATGTAGAAGAGGTTGTGCTGGACCAAAGTTTTGATGACCAGCTCATACAGGTAGTGCTGTAAGAGACAGTCGCATGCTCAGAAAACTAAAAGCATCTGATAACAGCAATGTTCCGAAGCTGAAACTAGTGTTTGATCATTAGCTTGACTGAAATCTACTTGAGGAACATTAAAGTTCAAAATAAACTAGTTTTCTTTGGTTATAACAAGAGTGGTCAGGGTTGTACCTGCACAGTAATCTGGAACTGGTTCAGAGAGCGTATGTACTCCATCAGCACCGCAATGACAAATTTGTGGGATGAATCCTGGTGGAGAGAGAGTGTTAATATCTACTACTTCAGTACTTGGCCTAGCATGGGGAGCAGTGCTCCTCTAACTGTACTTGCAACCTGGTGCCTAGAGGAACTTTAGTGTGTAATTAATGAGTGTTACGTTAATTAATCCATAAGGTAATATCAAAAATAAAAAGGCAAAGGGAATAACTTTATACTGTTTTGAGTATAACAATCTGCTAAAGAATACACTTTTTGTTAATTGTTTATGGCATCTCATCTGGACTTAAAATCAACAACTGATGAATCTCATGTGTGATCCACCAAGATGCAGAACCGGTTAAGCACTTGGAGCAGGAATCTCAGGCCACATCCAGTCATAGGGTGGCTGGATCTCATTGCAGGCCATTTCTTGGCTTAAGCAGTCAAACTGCCTCTGGTTCTTGGTTCTGATCCTAATCCTAAGGGACCACACTGTCTTCTTCAAAATGTATACAAACCACTAACAGCAGTACTGAATGCAAGCTTTGATTAATTACAGTATAGAATTTGTTTTATTACTATTAAGAACTGAAAATCTTCATATTACGTTTCTTTAATGAATGTACCAGTTTGAGTATAATTTGCTACTTGCAAAATTGATCAATTATCCTTTTATGACTCTACATTTTAAACACACATAATGTGAATAAGATGTTATTCAGGCCATGACTGCCCTCTGCTGGTTGAACAAAATTGCCTAAACACTACAAGAAAACTGGAGCAATCAAACTGTTTTTTTCTCTCACTCATTCACTCGCACACTCACACACACACACACATACACACACACACACACACACACACACACTCACACACACTTGAAGCATTGGGACTGTGTTAATTTCCGGGACATGGTAAAAACGTTATCTCACACTGTCAAACACTGAGACTGCTCTCTGCACAACGTGTGGTACACAGGCTATATTTCCTGCTCTAGTGATCATATTATGGGTGCTACCTGTTCCTTCAAGAGTGATTTTATGATTAGTCTCCCTACTCTTAGCATGGGATTCGGCAGAGTGCCTTTCCTCCGTTTGCATCACTGGATGATGCAACCGCATGCAGATGCCAGCAGTCACCAGTAAAATGTGCCGCTACGCCCAGGTCACTGTGGCTGCTTACTGATGCCCAGTGATCTCCACTCAAGGTAGTAGCTTTTGCTCATGTTATCTGTTTTCCTTCCGCCCTTAGTGAATAATTGATTAGAAAATTTTTTATCAATGCTCTTTTATAAAATCAAGTAATCGTGACAACTCCAATTAAATGATACTATTTTACATGCATTCACATGCTAATTCTGGAAGACCTTAATGAGATCAAAGTAATCTGACCAATTAGCCACTAATTAATTAAACCACTAATTAGCTAATTCAGCTTATTTTTTCTCATTTGACAAAAAGAGAAAACGAAATCTGAAAAAACAAACTAGATCCTTGACAAAATAAAACCTTCTAGACACTGAGCTGACTTACACAGCACATTGGTTCAGCTGACTCTTAATTCCCCTTTACTGCCAACCAGAATCATTTCACACACACCCTACAGCTAAGGCACAACACTGGCTTCCCCAAACAGTGGTAGAGAACATGGGAATGTGGTATTAGCCTTGTAGGTATGTTTTTTTAACAGAAGATGCTTTTATCCAAAAAAAAAAAATCTCAGGGGCCCAACAGTGACATCACTCCTAGTCAAATCCTAGGATTTGAACCATAAACTTTCCGATGACCAGTACAGTAGCGTAACCCGCTACGCCACTCGGAGACTCATGCAGCCTTTGTGAGTCCAGCCACCCAGATACGGTACCTTGCGCTCTGTGAACGTGGACAGCACGTGCGTGTACATGTCCGACTGGTCGATGACGGCCTGCGTGCGTACCGGCCTCTTGTGAACAGTGCTGGCCCGACTTGCACCAGACTCCACAGCCTGAAGATACATCAGGACACACGATACAATGAAGTATAAGCCAGAAATCTCATCAGCAGATCTGCAAGGAGAGCACCCATCTGTCATCTTACTGATCGTGTTTGTCTGTGATGGACTGGCATCCCATTCAGGGTGTACCCCTCTCTGGTGCCCTATGGTGCCTGCATAGCCTGCCTGTGATTTCTCATATGCAGTCTGTGAGATGTTGACTGTGAGTGTTATTGCATGTGCACAGTAATGGACTGGCATCCCGGCCCATCCTTGCTGGGACAGGCTCCGGGTTTATTTATATAAGATCTATTAAGGGACTAGTGGACTCACCGTGGTGTAACTTTGCTCTGCCTCCAGATACTCCTTATAGACCTGACTGAGCTTGTCAAAGACCGTGGCCACCACAGGTAGGTTGCCCTTGTCTCCTTTGATGAGCACTGTCCCAAGACAGACACAAGGCTACAGACTCTTCATGGTAAAAAAGAGCAGGTTCACAGCAGCATTACTGTATCCCTCAGGACGTTTGAATTACAGCATTACTGTATCCCTCAGGACGTTTGAATTACAGCATTACTGTATCCCTCAGGACGTTTGAATTACAGCATTACTGTATCCCTCAGGCTTTGAATTCCACAGTATGTAACCATGCTTAGTGCACAGTATGGCTCAAATCAAATACTACTAATAAGGATTAAAGATTAAGTCTAATCTTGGGAGATTATTGTTATATTGTCTAGTTAATTAAAAAAAAAAAAAAAAAAAAACACGCACACATTTTCTCATGAAAGGGTTAAAAAAAAACCTACTCTGAGAGCACACAGACAGGATGACCATCTTGCAGTCCCTTCTCCGTAACAGAAAGTCCATCAGCTTGCCCTTGTCCTGCAGAAGGTTCACCACAGGCTGGAGCTTCACCTGTAGATGCCATAGATAGCCTGATACCCCCCCACCCCCATGACGAACAAACACAAACAGACATGGCATCAACAGCAAATATGGGTTTAACGAATAGAGTTAGACAATGCATGCGACGCTCTTTTAATACTATTTCATGAAATTACCTTCACTGGCACTTATGATAATGTCTGGCTGAAAGACACTCCAAGTTGAAGAGTCTGAAAGTCAAGGTGAACATGGGAACGACCAACCTCAAATTTTTCAAATAAAATCATTTCTGAGCTTTGGAAGGTATGTCATTTGCATGGCATATTTCATCAAAATCATAAATGATGATACAAAAAAAAAACACTTTTTGGAAATTTGTTGAATTAAAGTGGAATGACCTGTACATTACAGGTACACTACTGTGACTCTCAATTAATAATGAATAGCAATTCTGAAGACTAATAACATGATACAGTACTAACAGCAAGCAATGTGCTAATTACTACAGTTCCATAATTATATTTATTACAGATCACATTTCTTTGGGGATACCTAAACCATAATAAGAATGAACTGATACTTTATTTGCCATTTGTGTAATTACGAGTACAGGTACACAGGTATTCTTTAGTTTTCGCACATCCCATCTTGCTCTCCTTTGAGACACAGACACACACACACACACACATATACAGGTGATGGTCATAGCACAGATGAGCCATTTATTGAGCTTCACTAAACATTTTTGGGGTTAGAGGCTTTGCTCACGGGAGTAACAGTGATGCAACTCCTCTGACGATTAAGGCATTTGAACTGGCAACCTTCTGATCACAGGCGCAGAGCAGCAAATGTTTCCTATCTACCACACTTACTAAGAAAGGATACAAAGTTCACAGGACACTGGGGCCTGGGCGGCCACAGCAACTGGACCTGGAGGAAGAGGACAGAATGGAGGTAAACCACAGTCACAGGGTCACACTGTATTTGACATGTCAAAGGTGGAGTCGCAGCAAGATGTACCAGTCAGAGGGATTTTGTAGGGATGGATGGACCAAGGAGGAAGAACAGGCAGGTGAATGTTCAGAGTGCTGTCTGGATCTTTCATTTTAATATCAAATATGAAGGACGTCTAGAAAAGAAATCACTCAGTCACAGAACATATTGTGTGCATGCAATGTACAAAATGAGAAAGATTTTAAGGTCTCAGTTTTTGTTAAGAAATTGTCTTGAATTCCTACAACATAAAACCAGACCGCATCTGCACCTACAGCCGTCCATAGGTCCATAGTGACACCACCTGCTCACCTGAGAGCTTTGGTGATGCACGACCACCAAGTTGTCCACCACGTTCAGGGCAAACTTCCCTGTTGTGTTCAGCTTCAGCGTGTGGGTCTTCTTACAGGGCCCTTCCCTGGACAGACAGACACTCTTCAGCACCTTCTCCCTTGCAGAAGCACTGAACTCACATGTATTAATCGGTGTTAAAAGAGCAGCCCAGACCTTGGGAGGTGATAGAGGACCACTTCGGCACCAGGACTATTAGCCGTTCTGGAGTGGTGCTTCAAATACATTACATACAGCTGACCATATCTACAAGCACAAAGGAAAAATCCAAGATCACACAATCAATTAATATGCATTTAGCAGTAACACTAACTCACAATTTTAACAAAATAAACTAAAGGAAAGCCTTAAACTGACAAACCCATGATACAGTCATGCTCCTCATAATGGCATATCAGTGAAGAACAGACCGCATATACGACTGTGATCCCAAAAGATAATGGCGCTTAAAAACTCCTAATCACCTAGTGACGTTGTAGCCATCGTAACGTCACAGCGCAACGCATCGCTCATGTGTTTGTGGTGAAGCTGGTGTAAAAAAAAAAAAAAAAGCCTACTGTGCTGCCAGAATCATGTTACTGGTTTGTGTATTTATGATACTGTACACTATCGTATAAGATTAATCAGGGTGTGTTGTAAGCTGCACCATCTGGGTTTGTGTAAAGACACTATGATGTTCACACAAGAAAATCATCTGATGACTGATTTATCAGAATGTATCCCCGTCATTAAGCAACACTTGACTGTACAAAAAAAAAAAAAGATTAATCAGTAAATTAATTAAATTTAATACATTTCCTGAAACAAACATATTATGGCACACATGAGGTAAAAAGCCCTACAAACAGTGCAGACCCATGACAGGTCTGTGACTCACATGGTCGCCACAGCGATATCTCGCTCTGACAGGCTGAGCTTGGCGGGCTTGGGGACTGCAGGCAGTTCAATCTCAAATTTGGACATTTTGGACATTGTCCCGTTCTGGATGGAAACAACATAAGGAGAATAGCACTGTCCCAACAGACAATGATAATTAACAGCAACATCAGCTAACATCGCAACATGCACCTACTATTACTAAAAAATAATTTTTTACCATTAAATTTTAAGAGTGTAAATGCAAAATAAAACAAGACGTTATTTAACTAACAAACTTAAAAAAGTCATCAAGCAGTCATACTAAGCTCCTAAACAGACTTGCTGCTAGGGGCTCGTTGACACTGAAGCCAGCAGCACTGTGGGTCGCGACCGAGAACCCGACCACTAAGGACTAGAACGTTCCCTGTGATGTGGGTCCGCCCACCTTGAAGGCGAATGGCTGCAGCACGTTGCCCTGCACGGTGGTGGACAGCAGGATGACCGAGGTCTCGGGGCAGTACATGTACCAGTTCACGTTGATGCTTTGGCTCTTCAGAAGCTTCAGACTGCGCTTGTCGGGAAACACCTTAGGGGAGAGACAGGAACACTGAACCATCACCTTTCATTAAGCTGGTCTTTAGGCACATATTAAAAAGCTGCTTACCGATTTGGTACCAAAAACTTTCCTCTGGGCATCTAAAGGTGGGGTTTGGCTGTGCCAGTAACCATAAGGTTCCTGGTTCAAATCCCAGAGCCAGCAGAATGATGCTGCTGTTGGATCCTTAATCGAGGCCTTTAATTCAAATGACTTGTCGGGTGCTGCACTACGACCCCAAGCTTACTCACACCTTCACATGGGCTGGACAATGAAACCGCAACACTGGTCATAATAGTGTTTGAAGCTTAACGTCTATATATCCATGGCCTGCTGGCCAATCTTCACTGTATGCACATTCCATCAGTAAGAGCAGAGTGTGATGCTTGAATTAGAAGAGCAATAGCATAGCTGTACATAAAATACTGCAATCCACACAACATAATGGGAGACGGAGTTCAAATTGTTGGTTGGCACATCACCACAAAGGATGGACCACATCCAACAGGAATAACTGAGGAGGCAACAGGAAGCTGTCTGCAAGTGATGTCCGGGTACTAACCCTGACTGTATTAAAAAAATCATAAAATCACAGCTGCCTAACCCCCTGCAGAAATAAATGCGCACCTCAACTCTCCCATTTCCACCAAAACTGCTTGTTGAGAGCTCCACGGGGTCAATATTCATGGTCAGGCTGCTATAGGCAAACCTCTGGTAATATGTGACAATGCGAAATGTCAGTTGTAATGGTGCCAACAATGCAAAAATTGGGCTGTAGATAATGGTTTGGGCTGCAATATCATGGCATTCCCTAGGCCCACTACTTCTTCTAGATGGGCACGTCACTGCCAAGAACTACTGAACCATTTTTGAGGACCATGTTCACCCAGTGGTTTAAACTTTGTACCCAGAAGGAGATGCCATGTACCTGGATCATACCGCACCAATACACACAGCAAGACTAGTGACAAAATGGTTTGATGAACATGAAAGTGAAGCTGAACATCTCCCATGGCCTGCACAGCCACCAAATCTAAATATTATTGAGCCACTCTGAGGTGTTTGAGGAGCGAATCAGGAAACGTTTTCCTCCATGAGCATCACATAGTGACCTGGCCACTTTTCTGGAAGAGGAATGGCTCACAATCTGGTCACTGTGACAGACTTGTATCTGTCATTCCTACGACAAATTGATGCTGTATAAGGAGGCTCTACACCATACTAATAAATTATCATGGTCTAAAAGAAGGAGTTTCAGTTTCATTGTCCAACCCCTGTATGCGTTTCTCATGGAAAACAAGATGGGATATGTGGAAAAAAAATATTTTCCCCATGGGGATCAACAGAGTATCGCTGTTCAACAGTGAATTTTATAACTAGTTTTAAAGACTCACAGATGTTCACATTTACATGACAGATGCTCATATCTCTCCATATCTCTCCAACTGCGTTTCTCATAAATTCCAGAATGGAGATCTACCACCAGCACCAGACTAATGCAATCCCTCCATCATACTCTTCAGCTTCCCATTAACTATGGGTGAAAGATGCACAATGGGCATCACCAGTGAACAAGCGAAAATGTACATGTTTATCTGGTTATTACATCTACTGTAAATACCTTACCTGATAAAACTCAATCCCTTGGTCAGTGATGAAAACGATTTCATTCCAGTTGGTCCAGCAGAATCCAAGCAGAGAAGAATTCTTTGTCTGGAGTTTGAGAGAACAGCAGTAAACTCCACAATCAAGGGCACATCCACAGTGGTTCTGCAGATTTTGACTGCATGGATAACATACCTTGCATTCTTGGGAGAATTCCAAGTGAGGATATTCTGGAATGAAATTAATAAAGTCCTGAAAAAGGAATATTAAAGAACAGTAAGCAATGACATACTTTTTTACCCTTTGTAGGACTTCAGGTAGCACATAATAATAATAATAATAATATAAAAATACTTCAAACACACAAAAACAACAGACAATCAGCTTATTCTCACCACAGACTTGGATGTTCTTTGGACAGCTAAAATCTTGTTTTCAAAGGAAAACTTAATGCACTTCACTTCTCCTTTGTCATCCATTCTGGAAAGAGAGAAAAAACATCGTTTGTTAAATGTTTGTTAGGTGGCCCATAAATAGTCTTTACTCACTCACACACACACACA